ATGCATGCATGCATACATTCATACATACATCTCTCTCTCCCCATATAAATAAATAAATAACTCTATATATATATATACATATGCTAGGCGCACATGACATACTACTTGAGTTATTGTTGGGGGGTACGCACTTGCTTTGATTGCATGTTTAGGTTCGCGGTCCAGGCGTTGTCAGGCTTCAGGGTTTTAAAAAACGTTGGGCTGGGTTTTGGGCTGCAGGGTCTGAGATATATTTAGGCTCAGGGCTTAGAGCGTAACTACAGCCACTAGTTGCTGCCCTAAGCCCGAACCTCGCCACTCACAACTCCCTCCTTTCCTTTGTTAAAGGCCTCGCAGGTAACCTCCGCGCCCCACTTGTACCTGGGCCGACAGGCTCCGAAACAGTAAACACATGCTTTGGGACGAAAGATTGAGTCCGCCAAGAATCAACATAAGTGTAGGGTTTGAGGCTGTCGTGTGGCTTAGGTTGCTACTACTTGAGACTGTGAGCCCTGTACGTAGTCAGTCCCGTAATGCCGAGATGCTAAACCCAACATCCTCGCCACAAACCCAGCAGCACCCTGGAAACGACGGCAAAACCGTAATGTCAACTCTTCAACACAAAAATACTGCACACCTTCACCCTACGAGCAAAACACTGAACCCAAACAAGCTAAAGCCAAAAAATCCTAGACCCTACAATCCCTACAATAAGTGCCAAAGACACAAGAGCTCTACAAGCTCGATGTGGCCGAACATGGCTGCGAAGTGGATGGGACGACCGGCACGCAGCAGTGCATGGCCTGGTCAGAAGGAAAGATCCCTAAACCCTAAACCCTAAACCCTAAAATTTAGGGCTTAGGGTTTAGGGTTTTGGGTTTAGGGATCTTTCTTTCCTAAAAGTCCCCGAAACAGACGCTGAAGACTCGTGGGGTTTAGGGTCTATAGGGTTAAGGGGGATGGATGGGTGGTTTAGGGTGTATAGGGAACTAGCCCCTCATCTGCAAGCCCAAACCTCAAGCCTTCCAAGCATTAGAGTGAAACCGCTCACACAAAAAATATGTGTATATATACATGTGTATGTGTACGTCTACACATATACATATATATATATGTACACATACACACATATGAACATATACATATATGTATGTGTATGCATATATATATATATATGTATATAGGCATTTACCTAAATCTGTGTGTGTACATCTACATAAATGAATAAACATATATATATATATAGATAGATAGAGACTATGCACACAACTACCTCGAGCTGCATGAAGCTCAACAGAGGTACAGTTCATGTATTTCAAATCATGGAGGCGCAAACTAGCTGCTGTGTTTGTAGATGTTTGTAGATTGGGTCCAGGACAGACTTAGCATTCTTGTAACTTCAACTGCTACTACTCTCGCGCCTTTGTAGCATGGAAACCGTATGTCCCCTAAGTTGCATCAGAACATGCGAAAGTACGCCCTGTTATGTCGATGCTAAGCTGTCACTCACCCTGCGACACTCTCGAAATACGGACCCGCAGATGCACAGAGCATGACATCGGCAGAGGCTACGAATCGTAGCTGAACAAAATCTGTTGCATGCCTTCTGTCTTCACATGACCTCTTAAGCGCTGAGATGAATCATGCGACACGTAGGCGTCCCAAACCAATCATCGGCTGAAGCCTTAGCCCTTGTCCCTGCGACGCTCGAAGTGTTTCCGGAGACGGAGACTAATATTGAATCATTATTGCAATTTTTTGAATAAAAATAAGAATACAAAAAACATAAAGTCGCAACATATCAGTATACCCTAAACCCTATACCCTAAACCCCATAATGAAAACACATGGCCCACTATTCGGCTCCTACTAGTTGTTCCAGGCCCTGGATCTCGTAGCTCTGCAGCCGACGGCCTTGACTCCCCTTGAACCCGGCCCCAAGCCTTCAAGCCTAGGGTTTAGGGATTAGGGCTCATAGGGTTTAGGGTTTAGGGTTTATAGGGTTTAGGTGTAGGGTTTAGGGTTTAGGGTTTAGGGTTTAAGGTATAGGGTTTAGGGTTTAGAATTTCGGGTTTAGGGTAGCGAACCCCAGAAAGTTGGGACATGGGTTTAGGAGGATTGGTGCTAGGATCCCCTATACTTTGCCTTAAGGGCATGAGGATATTGATGTTCCAACTTTCTGGCTTCTACTGTAAACCCTCCTTAGCCCTACCAGATCCCCAAGGGTCCAAAGGACCCATAATTAGATACTCGGTTTTGGGATTATAGTTATGTAGGTTACTATTTTGGAGAGGATATGATAACTATGCACTTGGACCCTTAGGGGATCTTCCAACATCCTTTACGTAACATGCCGCAAATAAGGATGAACATCCGTAATATGATTCAAGGTAGCCTGAGTTAAGGGATTTTGGAAGATCTGCGTAAGCCCAAGGATGTGTCCATGGCATGGTCGCGCCTGTGCTTTCCAAACATGCTTCACCAGGCTTTCTGAACAACACGTCCTGTGCGGAAATTGATCTTCGAGCATGGGTGGAGCTTTCATGTACGCAACGGTCAGCTCAGCAATGCTTGTGGTGATGATGTTGCTAATGAAAGTAAATCCGTTACTGTTGATGATTCTGAAGATGCAGTAAAGACAATGACAAAGGATAAGTATGGGACGTTCAACAGCACCAGGGAAGCATAAGCATCGTCACAAGCATGACCATAACCAACACCAGCACCAGCACCACCTTCACTACACAAATGTCGGGGCCCTATGTTTCTCATGATCTTACCACCCCTAACTTCGATCTCCACATCCTAATCATCATCATTACCCGAAACCCTATAAGCAAATCCATATCATAATCACCGTCATCATCTCCAGCACTGGCGTTGTCAGCCCTACAATCATCATCGTCGCAATCAATACCTTCTTCTTTTCTTCAGGAATCCATAATCACCACCATCTTGGTCATCGTCGCCATAATCTTCATCATGTCACTCTAGAAGATTGCCATAAACGGCTCATGAGGTTGCTTCCCGAAATGCATTCCTGCTTGTCACAACTGGGCTCAATGATATAGTGTGCATAGTTCAGTGGCCGCAGCACGCTTGTTTGGCACGTTAGACGGATTGTGGAGCGCCTTAGCTGTTACCGTTGCTACCTTACCTCCAACCTTGCATGTAAGTGCGCATGATGAGCCTGCAAGTAGGATCGAAGGGCCAAGCTACGCCCGCGATAAAGAGAACCATGCAACGGCTCCAACAACCGAAATCATACACAGGCAAATGGGCAGACCCAATCCCGAACACCAGCAGTAGAGACCCCCCTAATCGCCCTAAACCCTAAACCCTAAACCCTAAACCCCAAACCCTAAACCCAAATGCCCAGACCCAGGAAAAACGAATCGAGAGGCCCAGACACAGAGTTGATGTACTGTATTGGATTGTATATTTCTATCAAAGGGCGCTGAGGAACCCTATTCCAATTATTGAGGCTCCCAGATTAGTCTAAAGCAAGAACTGGGTGAACTGAGGCCCAGGTTCCAGCTGATTGTCCATGTATCTTGTGCTCACCTAAGTCTGGAGGCTTCTGTGCTTCTATAGGCTTTAGAACGTTCGGGGGCTTCAGGGCGGGTTCAGGGTGCACTATGACTGCAGCTCTAGATGAAAACTCTAGCAGCATGAAGCAGCATTCCCTTGATAACAATCGGAATCCAAAATGTGATGGGACGATGTTGTGCTTTCGAGGGATGTGCCTGCAGTGCAGCATCAAACACATTCAAACTGCACATGTCTATACTTCTTTGAAAAGACATACGTCTATACATGAGTATGCACATGCATCCATGCACTTAGTTACTTGCTTACAAGTGCCGGTGCAATCTGTGGTGCCCGCCAGGATGTGCTTACATAATTCTTTGTCTCTGGGATGCGGCTCAAAAACATGCCAGCTCGCACACTCCCAGAAACCCTGCACCACATGCCCAAAGCCCACACAGCGCACCGGGCGTGACCTTGGACACGAAACCTTAAAACCCTACAGTAAAGCCCTAAACCCCTTACCCTAAACACCCTAAGGCCTGAAACCCTGAACCCTGTAAACCCCTAAACGCTATGAACTCTGAGCCCTCTAAACCCTAAACCCTATAAACCCTTATGAACCCTATGAGCCCTAAGCCCTATGAACCCCTAAACCCTATAAAGGCTATAAGCCCCAAACCCAGAAAAACCCTAAACCAGACCCGACCCAAACCCGATACTTGGAGGCTCATGGGACTTAATAAGTACAGCTATAAGTACCCTAATTGGGGTTATAAGTATAGTTACCTTATTTATAACCCTAATTACTAAGTCCATGACCCTTTAAGTACGCTTCTCTGAGCGGGGCTTGGAAGCCGAAGGTACCCGACGCATGGACTCGGAGCGCACCACGAGATTCGGATCTGCGCCGGCCTTAAGCCTAGGCGCAGGGTTGAAGGTTTAGGGTTTAGGGTTTAGGGTTTAGGGTTTAGTAGGGTTTAGGGTTTAGGGTTTAGGGGGCGCAAGGCCTAACAGAAGGTGTAGGGATCCCTTCCTAACAGAGCATCTTTCATGAGTGTTTCAGGGTTGACGGTTTAGGGATCCCTTGAACGGAGGGGTCTTGGAGCGCAAGCCGCTAAATGTTGTCGCGGTCTTTCTTTATCGGGGGCAAGGCGGAAGCCGTTCTTGAGGCTTTATAGGGAATATAGGGTTTAGGCTTGTGCTTCGAAGTCTGGTGGCTTGCTGTTCGAGGGTATCGTGATCCGACATCCCTCTTCGCAAACTGCGGAAGGACTATCGCAGGAAACAGAAGCATCGGTGAAGCGACGGGATGGCCTAAACCCTAAACCCTAGTCCTACCTTAACCTACCAAAACCTACTTTTTTGTAGGGTCCCTAGAAATTCCATATTGGTTTATAATAAGAACCTACAAAAAGCTAGGTTTTGGTAGGTTAAGGTATACATCCGGTAGAGGTGAGCTTGAGGCAGCTTGACTTTGAGCTTACAGCCCTGACCAGCAAGCACAGTGTCTCAGGGGCCATGAAGTCTTAAGTCACTCTGCTGTACCAAGCCGTGAGATGCGCAGGAGACCCCTGAGCAGTGCCCTCCCCCCCTGCTCAAGTAGCTGCTGCTCGAGTAGCTAGGGATGCTAGATTCCTAGCGTTGCTGCCTGTTGTGATCGGGGGCTGGTGCAGAGGACCACATGCGGGATTGAGAAACCTTTCTTTCCTCGGTGCCAGCGAAAGGGATGGATAGCATGCGTCTTTGGATCTCATAATTACGCTGACCCCTTAAACCCTAAACCCTAACACTCAAACCATAAACTTAGCGTCCAGCTCCAAGACCTTGCACCATGCCCTTGCGAGCCAAATGTGAACATGTTGTTGGGGAGTCGGAAGGAGTGACGTGACCAGGAAAGCGTGAAGACCAAACCCCCGGTACGCCCGGTCTACTGCTACCGCTTCAGATCAACAGAATAAGCTTAAAGGCAGAAGGCCATTACGCTCGCGATCTGGCACTGCCAATGATGATTATGGTGATATCAAGAACACTACATAGCGAAAGTGGATAATCACAACTTGCCTCACTCAGGAATACCACTAACAGCACTCACCATACCAAGAACAAGAGCAGTAATCAGTAATCCTCACAGCGAGGAATTCTTTGCCACGACGACAGAACATGCCCAGACATGTTAATCAGCAACGGCTCAAAACGACTCTGGATATGACGGAGCTCTCCAGTAGATAGTCAGACGGCGGGTGTACTATCAGAGAAAAAGCATAGCACAATAACCACAAAGGGTAGGCAAATGGCAAACCGTCACCTGTAATCACTCACATGAGCTGTCTAAGAGTAAGCTTAGGCTTAGGCATTCACTGTCGCAGCTGAACACCCAAGACTCTGTGCAAGCCAGGCGCAACAGCTTGATATGCTCGATGTTGCCTGTGGTCAAGACCGGCGTGGTCGCCGATCGGAACAGCCGGGAAAAGTGGGCGGAAACACACGCGAGGGAGGGCGTCTCTGATAACTCCAGTGGATGCACCTCTCTGCTTCATGCCTTATGTGACGAAGTCTGACGAGAAGAGACACCGAGCAGCAATCTTGCAAGTGGATGCCTTCCTTGCCAAGACACGACGTCCACGAGTATCACTACAACTGCGGTGTGTTGGGAACACAAACAGAGGTAAAGATTGCTAATTGGCGTTGTGCTGGCACGTTGCTCTGACAGGAAATTTCTAACTTAACCTCACTCAAGAAAGATAAGTACTTTGGCTGATCGCCAGATTGTTGAGAGTGTCGGAAACGCGCAAGCTGGCAACTGAAAGGTCACCTCACCACCACCCCTACACGCTGATCCTCGGTGTATATGAACCTCACACCTTCAACCCTCAGAACACCTGCTTAGTGTAGGGTCCTTAATAATTAGAATAAGGTTTGGGGGGTATATTACACTATAGTTATTATAATAATTGTCCGCCAAAAATACTATAGGTAGTTATTATGGCCCCTATATTACGTGAGGGCTCTCCGTCCATGACAGTCCGACCGAAGTCAGCAATCGCAAATCCTCGGTGGACGGCTGCTGAATCCCAGTATAGCCAGTATAGCTGTAAACGCTACCTGAGAGGTGACCTTTAGGGTTTAGGGTTATAGTCTAAGGTTGAAACCATGGGCCCCTAGCATGGGCCCTTAACCCTGGGATCCTTATACACCTGCTATATGCTCTACATGTACCAGTAAGAGTCCCTAGAAAAGCCTAGGGGTCCATATTAGGGGCCCATACTTCTAACCTTAGATATAGACACCAAAACCCTGAACCCACCCTTATATACCCCTTCTTTAGTCTCATAAAGCCCCTATATAACCCCAACAGTGCCTTTTAAGGGTCCCTCCTTTAGTCCCTTGATACAGGGAACCGAACTCCTCTGGGAGCGAAGCTACCTATAGTCTCCCTTGTAGTTCCTTTTTTTGGTTTAACCAACTAAACCCTAAACCCTAAAATTAGGATCCCATAAGGTAACCCCAAAAAGGAACTACAATGGAGACTATAGGTACTAACCTACATGACTGCACGCGTCGCAGAAGCGGAGGTTACACGCTACGCGAAGGGATGCAGCGGGTGACGCTGCAGTCGGCG